AACAGAACATAAGGTAACTGAATTGATGGCAAATATACCTCAGAAATGTACTTATAAACGGTGACTGAAATACAGAATTTACTAGTATTAAAAATGTACTGTTACATGGTAAACATGTGAAACAGGAAATATCCAGTTACAGACATTTGCTGTTTTTTTTTTAAAGGGGGGAAGGGACTGTATTACTTTCAATGCTTAGAAAATACAGCAAAGAGAGTCAACTCCATAAACTACAGGGATTAGATAATCAACTATCTAAACCCTTACTACCAACTATGATTCAAGTGAAATGCATTCTGCCATTTCAAGATAACAAACTGTCACTGTTAATACCAGGCAATATTTTGAAGATGGATCAATTAACTCTTAAGGGGCAGACATGGTGTCTTTTTATTTCAGAGTTCCTTGCTAGATGGTAACCTTAAGGCAGTTAGGGCAGTGCAGAAGAAAAGTCCTGTCTACACCCAATTCAGAGATATGTCTCAGATTCTATTTTTTAATCAAAAAGAAAGTAATGGGGCAGATTAAAAAGAAAATGTGTTAAAGCTAGTAGCACAGCTGTGCTATGTCAGGTAACAATGGGTTTCTTTCTTTTCTTTTTTTTGAAGATTTATGTATTTATTATGTATATAGTGTTCTGCCTGTATGTATCCCTGCAGGCCAGAAAAGGACACCAAATCTCATTTTAGATGGTTGTGAGCTACTACCACATGGTTGCTGGAAATTGAACTCAGGACCTCTGGGAGAGCAGCCAGTGCTCTTAAGCTCTGTGCCATCTCTCCAGTCTCGGAAGTGGGTTTCTTTCTCTCAATGCACCCCAACAAAGCACTGCCACTTTGGCCTTCCTCCCTTTCATATACTTAAAAGCTCACTAGTACTTCCCTCCTTACCTGTTTCTCACACACAAAATTCACATTATCAGAGATACAGGAGGGGGACCTGGAAGCTGGTGATGAGGTCCTGCTGAGATCAGGCTGCATCCTGCTGCAAATTACCCTATTCTGGGTAGAAGTTTCAAAGACTGTGCCTGATCCTGAGAGACTCTATTACTTTAAAAGATGGATTGACTTAACTTGGTGTATAAGCAAGCATATATGGGCACAACATGTGTGCAGTGCCCGTGGAGACCAGAAGCGTGCACCAGACACCTGGAACTCAAGTTACAGAAGGCTGTGAGCCATCCCGTGGGTGCTGGGGACCCAATATCTACAACAGTATAGTAAGTGCCCTTAACTGCAGAGTCATCTCTCAAGGTCTTGAGAGACTATTTTACAATCAGCTCTTGATTCCATTTTGAGGATGGAGGATGGCTGTATGCCTGTGCAAACATATGAATGACACCATCAGCCTGACACCACCATGCACACAGAATGATAAGTGGTTTATTCCTGCAAACAGGAAATTCACCGTTGTATAATTTATTGGGAGTAGATTAAGACAATAAGGACCAACTGGCATATTGAAGTCATATCAGGGAAAACAGACCCAAGAACTTCCTGGACACGTTCGAGCCAAGAAAGTCAACTGTAGGGCCCCCGGGTCTACCCCTCCTCCCAGGGTTCATATTGAGGATAGCTTGCAGTTTCTGACAAAATATCTTGTTTGTTCCTGTGCTCCCTCTGCCCACCCTGGGGTTTAGCTATAGTGGAGTTGTTTGCTCCATCTTGAGCCTGGTAATTCCCACCTGCCTGGGGGTATTTCTACTGTACAGCAGGGAGGTATATAAGGTTTTCTCTACTCTTGAATAAATGGCATTCTGCATTTTCTCTTCACAAATGACCCACATCTCATGAGTTCCTTGATCTCCAGCCCCTTACCTGACTTGCAAACTGTCCTATAGCGCAGGCACTACAGGCCCACAGCAAGATCGAGAAGTAGGGACCCCCTGAAAGATCACCCTCGAAAGACTGGCCAGCAGGTAAGATATCGATGGGTGCTAGTAATTCTGTTCAAGTATTGATGGACCAATTGATAGTTCTTTTAACGAAGCAAGTTACCACTATTAAAACTAAGACAGCACAAGAGTTTATTAAAAAACAGTTTTAGAGTTTCCACAAGCAGTGGACTTTAATATTCCTGATTGGGAACAGGTAAAAGCTAACCTTCAAAAAGCTTTAGGAGCGAGGGCCAGAAGAATTTCCCATAGCAACATTTTCGCTATAGCGTTTAGTCAAAGACGCTCTTCTCAGTGATAATGTAAAAGTGAAAGAACAATTAGAGACTTTGGCCAAAACCTTTGAGGAGATTCAAGATGAAGAATCTGTGAATTCTATTAAGAGCTTTGAGGGGGAGGAAGTTAAAAGTACTAAAAGGGATATAGAAGAGGAAGAAGAGACTTTAGAAAGGGAGATTGTATTGTTAAAAAAGAAGTTGGAAGAAGACATTAATCAACTAAAAGAAGCAGTTATGGCCTATGGGACTCATGCCCCCTTCACTGTGGCTTTAATGGAATCCTTTGTGGAACTCAACCTTACGCCCAGCAATTGGATACAGTTTTGCAGAGCCTGTCTTTCGGGAGGAGATTATTTGTTATGGAGAGGCGAAATGCAGGAAAATTGCACAGATACTGCATAGTATAACTCCACCACAGGTTTCCCCCAGTGTAACCTTGACATGTTAACTGGCACGGGACAGTACGCAGGCTTAGCAGCACAGGTTACTTCTGGTGTATGCTGTGGATTTTTCTTTCTGGGAGCCTAGGGACAGGGCAGAGCCAAGAGATCAGATGGGCGCTCGTAAAAAATCCATTTCTGATGCCAGTGGGACTGGATGGCCTTGTGCGGCCTGCCTTATTTACCAATTTTAGTACAGGGACACCTGCTGTACCTTTGGATACCACCCAAAACAATATCATGGGGATTTGGAATTTAACTGGAGTCCGGTATTTCGAGAAAATTAAGAACCTCACGAACTTACCTAAGGATTTCAGTTCCATTGCTGCAGGTAGTTGCCTTGTGCTCAGCAATGCTTCCATTGCTGATTTTGCCCCTAATGCCCTCAATACCTCAGTGGTAGGTTTCAAAAATATATGGATGTCCATTAATACCAATATTTCTGTTAGCAGGATTTGCCCAGCTCCAATCAGTTGTTGCTGGTCTGGGCCTTTGAATTATGATTGGAGTCTTCCCATACTTTGGGCTGAGTGCAGTACCATGTCCCCCTGGACTCTTAAGTCCCATTCAGCAAAAATTGTACTTCCCAGGCAGGGCTTTGTGTCACCACTCTGGGAAGCTCGCATGCTATCCTGTTCCCCTTCATTTCATTACATACATGTTACCACTGCTAAGGTTACAAATTTAGCAGATATAGTGAAAACGCTGAATGCTACCATGAGATTATTCTAGTTAACAATACTGGTGGGGTTCCTCCCACCAGTGCTAAGACCTTACTTAAGGGGCTCCACTTTGCAGGCAAACTCATGAAGGATTGGGCAGGCACAGTCTCCTTAGGGGTGAGTGCTTACATGTGCTGGAGCCTTTATCATCTTCATGTTTTTACAGCAACAGAGCCAGAGGCAAGCTCAGGTCAATTTGCCACTTGGCAAATCCTCTTAGCTATTGCTCCAGAGGATTCTTCAGTGCAAATCTGGTTGACCATGGTGAAGGGTGACTAGTGAGTCAATGATGGGAAAGGTCTTTGGGGGGCTGCCCCAACCTAAGACAGGAAATGTGTTTACCTTAAGGGGTAAGGGGTGTTGCCTGACATCCAGTGCCACCTAAGGCAGGCCTAGTAATTTAATTTATAAAAAAGGGGGACCTGTAGGGCCCCACAGGTCTACCCCTCCTCCCAGGGTTCATATTGAGGATAGCTTGCAGTTTCTGGCAAAACATCCTGCTTGTTCCTGTGCTCCCTCTGCCCACCCTGGTGGTGAGCTATAAGGGAGCTATTTGCTCTATTTGAATAAACAGCATTCTGCATTTTCTCTTCACGAATAACCCATGTCTCTTTTGTTCTATAATCTCCAGCCCCTTGCCCAACTCATGAACTGTCCCATAGCGCAGGCACTACAGTCAACCTGGGACTTCAATTGGTAGGCTATGAACAATTCCTTCTCTTCAAAATGTACTTGGCCGTCTAGCTCCTTTACCTACATGTACTATGCACACACACTCCTCTCCATAAAATACACTCAAACATACCCCTTAGGAACTCAGCTCCTCCTCTTGGACCCCATAAAGGAAAGCTCCAGACAATAATAATGGCCACTGAGACCCTTCCCTCATGTGGCATGCTGCTCCCTGCAGGATCTATTGCTTTAAATAAGATCCTTGTAACTTTGCAATCAGTGTGGGCTTTTATTATTGATCAAAACACCAAGAACCCGAAGACAGCCAGTCCAGCAACAACCTGAGCTACTGTAACACACTAGACCAAGGAAAAAGGCCAGGCAGCAGGATTTACAGCCTTTGGTGGAGAGTCAGATCATGATGCCTAGGGAAGGGAGGAACTGGGTAAACAAAAACCCTGATCTCTTCTGTTACTCTTCAGAGGCTCAAATTGGCCCAAATCAATTTCAAGTCCAAAAGAGTTCACCTGGATCCTAAGAAGAGGTAGACACTTAGCGCTGCAACAGCCCCACTGACTTGGCCTCTGACAACCAAATGTAGGCATCAAGGACCAACTGTCCCAGGGGCTTTTGCTCAGCTCAGTACCTGAGATGGTGTGGTCTCAACTACCACCTGCACTTGTTTAGGACCCCTCCACTTCCTTCAGTTAGACCTGGTCCTGCCCTTTTGCCTCTATAGTGGGACTCAATCCTGTAGCTTTCCCCTCAAATTTGTGACACTCAGAGCCACTGCTGTTTCTTCAGTCTCTTTCTTGCATCAATATGAAAAGGAAATGTATCTGAAAGAATACCTTTTTATTCCCATCACAACGAACCACATCTGTTTGACTATACTGCAAAGCTGGAAGGGAGTAAAATACACCTAGGTGTACAAATTATACACATAGTAATCATCCAATATAGAAGAGAAACAGAAAAACGAAACAAATACCCATCACATAACAAACACTTGTTTAATTTTAGGAATACAGTAAAAATATGAGACAAGACATGTTCCTTCCTGTATTTTGAGCTGTTAACCCTGGAGCACTGCTGGCACCGCCTCACTGCTTTGCTACACACATGATACGGTCACCTTGTTTGCTTCCTAGCTGGCAATGCTGGTTTTCTCTGCTTTCCGGCTCTCTTTGGGCTTGGAGTAGTCCCAGGGCCGTCTGTTCTCTGTGAATCCATAGAGCTTCCTAAGCGCCACTCGGGCAGCTTCCTCTTCGGCAACCAGCACCGTTTCCCCAGGTCCTTCTGCAAGCAGCTTTTTATCACTAGGAAGAAAACAGACAGTGATCCCGACTGACAGGAAGACAGAGCCCATGAGGCCGTTATGCCTTGCATTCCATTCCACAGAATTATAACCCATGAAGCCCAGTATTTTCCAAGCCAAAGCACAAAGTAGCAAGAGGATCAAAGCTGGGTGTAGTGTGGTGGTCCACACCTGTGGTGCCAGCACTTGGGAGGCAAAGGCAGGCGGGTCTCTGGGTTTGAACCAACTGGGTCTACATGGCAAGTCCTTAGATTAGAAAATCTTCAAAGACTGGGAAAATGTTTGCAGACATTTTAATCTAGCTAGTTATCTGAACATATACCAATGTTCTTATCTAGTACTCTAATTGAGCACTCACTCGTATGTGCGCTCTTTCTCTCTCTCTCTCTCTTTCTCTCTCTCTCTCTCTCAAAACCTGAAACCAATTTCAGACAGGTTCACTTCTAACAAAACTAAAAGGCTCTATATAAATGGTTAAAACTTGGATAGACACAAAGTTCCTTTCTTCTACTCTGATGCTAGTTGAAGTTGTTGCCAAGAGTAGATTAAGGTAAAAGCACCAACAGAAGTCAAACTTTTATTTTTTTATACAGGAAATATGAGGCCAGCTTATATCCCATGAAATTCTACAGCAAACAGCTGGCCAAAAGGGACTTAGCAGGAGCTGGAGGGAAGGCTCAGTGGTCCAGAGCACTGACTGCTCTTGCAGAGAAGCCAGGTTTAGTTCCCAGCATCAACAAAGAAGCTAACAACCATCTGTAACTCCAGCTCCAGGCGAACTGACAGTTCTTCTGGTCTCCCCATGAATGTGGTACACACACACATGCAGGTCAATATTCACATTAAATAAAATCTTTAAAAGGTACTATTTAGTAAAACACAGATAACTTGTCTTCCTCTAATAGAAGAAAGAAAAAAAAACAAAACAAATAATCAGAGATGACCCCACTCCCACCCTCCTGGATATCACTGTGTAGCTTTGGTTGTCCGAGATGTAGACCAGTCTGGCCTCGAACTCACAGAGATCTGCTTGCCTCTGACTCATGAATGCTAGGCTAGGATTAAAGACATGCGCCACCATGCCCAGGTCAGAGAAACAATTTTAAGGCCATTAGAAGTAACATTTAAAAACAGAAATCTATCTTTAAGGCTCCCAATCAAAGTTATGAAGTAAAGAATTTTCTACTAACCAGTATAAGCCAACAAAATACAAAGGCAAAGCGGTTGTGCTTCCAGCCTGCCTGGTGAGTCTAGACTCGGGAGCAGAAATGTTTCTCTTCTTCAGTTCCTCTGTGAGGAGTCCCATGGGATTTATGACGGTCCACATCTCAAAGAGCTCTTTCCCTGTCATTTGTGTAATTAGAAAGTCCTGCGCATAAAATGACCATTTATACATTTAAATTAGAACAAAGAATATTATGACCAGAATTCAAATCCATGTGTACCATAAAAACCAATGGGAATGAATGGCAAATGTCCATGCTAAGCATCTAGCCTGAAAATATGAAATGCTCCAAAGCTGAGATTACAGAGCATTTTCAGTTTTAGCCTTTGGAATTCTGATTTGTGTTTCTCCCCCAAGGGCTCACATAACCAGGCAAGGAAACACTCTACCAGAATTATATCATAGGATGCTGCTATTTGTAGTTTTAATTTAAAAAAAATCATAGTTTAATTAAAAACTTCCAATTTCAAATCCTAAGAAAACAATATCAGGCAATATAACCTATCAAAATTATACAAAAGGTAGACCCCACCCTACAATTCAAGAGTTATCAAAATTCAAAGTAGAAGACAAGCTTGCGTCTACCTACCTGCTAAGGGCACACCCACATGGCCACGCCCTCCCACCATGACAGACTGCATTCCTTTTTACAGCCTGAGCTAAAATAAATCTTTCCCCTTAAAACAAAACAAAACAAACAAAAAGCAAAACTAAAAGCTGAAAATTACTTAAATCCTTCAGAACTCACTACCCAGCATTTAATATTTCTATTCCGCAAAAGAAGCAAACTGAAACAACATTACCAAAAAAATTGCTTAGGGCTTTGTCAGTTTGGGGGAAAGAAACAGTCAGGTCTATAAAGGTGAATCAAAGGAATGAATGAGAAAAAGAAATCGTTCCTTCTGTCCACATTGAGAGTGTTTGAACAAGTGCAATTGGTAATACCCACCCTGATGAAAAGGGCAGCCCTTTCGGGTCCACTGCTCTGTAACAGGGCTCCAATCACTGCAAAGAAAGTCCGGCGCAATACAGGCAGGGGGACAGGGAACTCCGCACTGAGGGTCAACTGCTCCACGGCCAAGTTACTAGCCACATGACAAACAACGGCCTCACTAGTAAGAAAGCTAACTAGACTCTCAACACCTTCAGTGGGCAAGTCTGGGAACTCATCTTCAAGAAACTGTGTGAGGCACTGATGTGAAAAAGACAGCCCCTGTTCAGACAGCTCTTGATTGTCCTTAAGATTCAGAAGAGCGGTTTCTTTCTCTATCCCAAGTTTCTGACGTTTCGCTTCTTCGCTTTTAATATAGCAGCTGTTGACAAAGGCAGTTTTGAGAAGGTCCAAGGAAAAGGTTTCTTGTAACCGCGCCCCAAAGGCTTGTATTTCCGCATGGTAATCCCAGTTTGGCTTCTCTGAACTGAGGATGTAGAGACAGTGAGAGATGGTTAAGGATAGCGTGATATCATGTACAATTGTGCTCTAGTCTTATTATATAAAGGGACAAGAAAAAAGCTTGTTTCTTTTAACGTCAAGTCCTAACAGTTTAAATACAAAAAAGTAATACCAATGAACACTGGAAGTTCTTTGTTACATTCTACATATATGGTTAAGATTAATTTTTCTTTTGGCTTAACTGCCACATTAAAGTGATAGTTCACATCAGATTAGACTATTGTTCTAGCTTCTACATTCCTTCTTTCTAGTCTAACAATGAAATTATGCTTTCCACCTAAGTATGAAAAAATTGTAACTATATAGGTTCAGAACAGAAGTTAAAAGTATATGTAGTTTATATCCTATTTATTTAAATTTCAGAAATGTCCACTTAAAGTACCAGTTCCTTAAGCTAGTAACAACACTATAATAATTGTATCAATACAATAATATAATACATGTTAAAATTTAATAACCATGGGTGAGGCTTGAGGCTGTTGTAGTTCAATGGTAGAGTGCTTGCCTAGCAAACACAAGGGACTGGTGTGTGCGTATACACTTTAAATACACACACAATTCCAAGAATTATAATAAACAGGATTGATATTCTCCTGGAGAGCAAGATTAAGTAGTAATCAAAGTTTCACATCAGGAGTAAGTTCCCAGAAACCAGAGTGAGTTCCCGGTTCTTTGGATGTACTAACAATCTAATGGAGGCCAAATGCCAGGGCAACTACAGGGATGAAGTAGATCTACATGTGTTTTTGTCCACAAAGACATAGTAAACTGAAGATGCAAGATGCAGGATCATATATAAGGACGATGCACTTGATAAAAGCGTATGGTTGGTTTTGGAGGATTTTGTTGTTGTTGTTTTTGGGTTTTGTTCGTTTATTTGCCAGACAGCGACAAGATTATCTAGATCAAAAACCTAAACTTTTCTCCTCTTACTCTGGGCAGTGAATACATAGTTCAGTTCTACACAGAAGTGAATTTTTCTGTCCTGGCTCGCAATGTCGCAGAATAATGCTATCCCTCTTAAAAAGAGGCCCAAAGAATCTCAGACTGGGTGATCACAAACTTGCGCCAATCTCAAGTGGTTACTCTCCGGCAAGACCCCTTTCTCTAACTGGGGTTCCTGAGATTCTGCAGGGGACGGCCAGGCTTCTGTTGTCCTTTTCCTCGGCCCCAGGTCTCGTGTAGCCAAGTCCCACCCCTCCGCCTGCCTGCAGGTGCAGCCTAGTGTCCTCACCGCCACCTTGGCCACTCAACCCTCCTGGGACGCCTACCGTCGCACGGGCGGCGGCGGGCAGCGCAGCAGGCGCCATCGCTCCAGCTCCTTCTGGAAGCGGAAGGCTGCACGGAACCCCTTCTTCACTCCCCGAACCGGGGGAACCAGTGTGGGGGCGACCGGAGGCAACAGGCGGCGAGAGCCCTGCTGCAGCAGCCGAACCACGGCAGAAGCCATGGCAGCCACCAGGCAATCGCGGGCGGAAGGAAGGCAGCCGGACCGGTGCAGCCACAACACAGGTCCCCAGGAGCTCAGCGGCACAGGGAGGGCGGAGAATTAGGCGACGCCCACAAGGGCGGGTCGGTGGCGAGATTGTGTGTACTGCGCATGCGCAAGTGTTTCTTTCCCGCCCGTGATGTGAGCGTGGGTGCAGAAATTAATGGGAAAAGTTGCTTGATCCTGTCAGTCTGTCTTGTGTTTATTACTCACTAAAGTAAAACAAAAACGCGTTGCAGTTTCAATTTGAAGAAAACAGTTAAATTCTAAAGAGGAAAGCATTTCTTGTTTACATTCAGCCTTAAATTGTAGAACATCAATCCTGCCGCTACTGAGCAAACGTTTTCGAAGTTTGAGGTTTCACTAAACACCTCCCCTATGTATTAAGGCTGGGTAGAGCGACTCAGTATGAGAAGTAGGGTCCCAAAAGCTAGAAAAAGAGTCGGAGACAGCCCGTTTCTGCTGTGCTGTTTGGGAGTCCCACAGGAGGACCAAGCTATACCACTGTCCCATATATGCAGAGTGCCTAAGTCAGTCTCATGAAGGCTCCTTGGTTGTCGGTTCAATCTCTGTGAGCCCCTATGAGCCCAGGTTAGCAGGTCGTGTGAGTCTTCCCATGGTGCTTGACCCCTGGCCTCCCATCCCACCACCAGCTCCTACACTTCTTCCTCTTCCAGGATTCCTGAACTCCACCGAATCGTTGGCTGTGGGTCTCCACATCAGTCGCTGGGTAACACAATTGGGTCAGACACCAATCTGGTCCCAGGAGACAGCCAGCTCAGGCTAAAGTTTGTATTTTAAATAACCACCTTTTTTTTCTTAATTATGGGGGAAAGACGTGGGGATGGTGGTCAAAATATTAATAGTGAAAGTAGTAGTTTTAAAAAAGTCTGCCGCTTTCCTAACAAAATATAAGTGGAAGCCCCGCAGTCACAAAGGGAAGCATCTCTGCTTTTAGTTTCGTGTTGAACATCTTGACCTTCACGGGAACCTTTCTATGGTTCAATATAAAGGCAGGGGTGCTTTATATATATATAAATATATATATGGTCTCTATAAATATATACATATATATATATATATATATATATATGGTCTCAAGTAGTGTCTCCCACTAATGCCCCACATGGAGCTCAAGGATTAAAGTCTGTATTCAGCTTCCTGTTATTCTAACTGTTGGTATAGTCACTTTAAAACAAGGAAAGATTTATTTGGTGTGGTGGCTATTCTTAGCTGCTAACTTGACTCAGCCGAAATCAACTGAAAACTCAAATGGCTGGGCACATCTCTGAGGGATTTTTTTTTCTTAATTAAATGACTTGAAATCAGAAGATCCACTTGTAATCCAGATCTTTGAGGTGGGGAAAGCCACTTTTAATCTGGGCCACACCTTCTGCTGGCAGCCTGTATAAAAGACATGGAAGAAGGAAGCTTGCTCTCTTTGCCCGCTTGCTGTCACTCTTGCTGGAAAGACCGTCTCTTTGCTGGCATTAGAGCCTACTTCCTGGGGATTCCAGCGGATACTGAAGACAAGCTGAGACATCAGCATCAGAGACTGAACAACTATTGGATGCTTGGACCTTATGTTTATAGGCTGCTGTTGTTGAATTAGCTGGACCATAGTCTGTATGCCATTCTAATAAGTTCCCTTCTCTCTATTTACACCCTTTTCTCTATTTACATAGAGATTCATTCTATAGGCTCTTGCCCTCTATGGAACCCTGACTAATACTTTTGGTCTCATACTGGAAAGTTTCTGCACCCCATAATCATAATGCAATAATACAAATCAGACCAAATCAAACTGAATTAGACAAGCCCAGATTTAATGCATACAAATGCTCCTGGATGGAGTCCCCCAGAGAGGAGACAGGAAAGGAAGACTGGAGAACCACATGTTTGTTCTCTGGGGAGGGGGCAGTTTAAATAACCTGTGTGAGTGATCTTGAGCATCTCTGGGGAGGGACTATCATTTGGCAGGCTTTCTCAGGGGTGGAGTCTGAACTGAAGCAACTTTGAGGTAGAGGGGGAGCTTGGGGCAGAGCTTCCACCTGAACATTCCAGACTCTTTGGATATATGGATGCCAGGGGCTGGGGTGACACTTCCACCCAAACATTAAAGAATCTTTGGATATAGGGGCACTGGTTCAAGTCTGGCTACTTCTTGGGTCATGGGACAATGTGAGGAAGGGGAGAGTTGGGAGTTGGTGGGCTCATCCTCAGCTAGAGGTGTGAGTGAAGAGGTCTCTGGTTAACTGCCATCCTGGAGACTGAGGATGAGGGAGATGAGAAGGCAGGTTGCTAGGAGAAAAAATAGATTGTTACTATCAGTTCTGTGAACAGGGCTAGCCATGAGAAGGGTGATTAACTGTCAGAAAGCATGGGATGGAGAAGTGCCCTGGTTATACAGAAGAGGCAGGGTGAATGAGTAAGATGAGAGCAGATATGCCCTTTGAAACCTGATTTTAGTTGCTGGGTAGATACCCAGTTGAGCCTGGAGAGGCAGTGCCAATGGAGAAGTCCCAGGAGCTGATGCAGGTGCTGGCATTATCTGGAGGACCTTCTGCAGGTTGGCCTTGGCCCAGACAGGAGCAACCTGTAAAATATGCTTGAAAATGGGTGGGGTCAAAATAGGCCCTGGAGACTATTAGTTTTTACCAGACCAGATTTCTTGATAGAAACTTCTCCCAGAGTTATCTGTAAGATAACTGGAACAGATTTACATCTTGGTGTCATAGCAAAAGGCTATGACTTTAGGTTAAAAGGCATGAACATTTCAGAAGACAATTCAAGGAAATTGAGCAGATTCTCTGCTCTCATATCCTAAGCTTTGGGGGACTATGCTTTACGTTTATAGTAACTGTTGTTTGGGGTCAAATCAATTGGGTGAAATGACAACCTAACAAATATTCCACATTCCAGAAATAAATCAAAAAGCGGGGTCTTGATGGATACAGATTTGCTAAATGTGGAGGAGATGAGAGGAAGAACAATATTTTGTAGCCTGTACAAAGTCACAAAGGGGAAAACTATTAAGACTCTGTGGAGCTGAAAGGAGGGTTCACAGGAGTGAACTGATAGCAGGCATCCTACAGCTGAGACGACATACAAACATATTATGTCCATAGAAGCAAATCACGAAGCTTAATTCCCCACTAGTCCAACATGATCCAGAACCTATGAACTGTAGCACGAATTCTAACTGATCTTAATAATAAAAACTCAGAGTCAGCTATCAGAGGGTGAAAGCTGAAGGATCAGAGAAGCAGAGTGGCCAGTCACTAGAGTTCTTACCTCTACCAATGCTCAGACCAAAGGGGTGATCCTGTTCTCAGACTGCCTCATCAGACTGACTACCTCAGACTGTGGCCTCACGCTGACTGTCTCAGACTACACTGCTCCTCAGACTGCATTGAGCACCTGTGTAGAGGACCTGTCTCAACAAAAATACTTCTTACCAGGGTAGGGGCATGGGAACTAAAGAAATATAAAGAATATGAAGATACATTAAAAATAATAAGACAGGCCCGGCAGTGGTGGCACATGCCTTTAATCCCAGCACTTGGGAGGCAGAGGCGGCTGGATCTCTGTGAGTTCAAGGCCGGTCTGGTCTACAAGAGCTAGTTCCAGGACAGGCTCCAAAGCTACAGAGAAACTCTGTCTTGAAAAATCAATAATAATAATAATAATAATAATAATAATAATAATAATAATAAGAAGAAGAAGAAGAAGAAGAAGAAGAAGAAGAAGAAGAAGAAGAAGAAG